TTGTAGAAAGTTCTTGATAACTTTGTACTAGTTTTCAAGAGGAGATTCGGCGCTATCGAATGAGCTATAATGGTTCAGTTTATCTTTGATTCTTCACCAAATTATCAGTAAAAAAGTAACGACTACGCGACTGTACGCCAAATATAGCGTCGTCGCGAATGTGTCAAATTCATGAGCTTTTTGAACAAAATTTTGAGACAGGAAAAGTGCAGGCCAAAAGCCACGAAAAAGGAGTGCCCTGAAGTGGCAATTTCCGAACAGCTCAGGTAGTGCAGTAGCAAAGTGTTTACCATAGCGATGCTAAACTCTGGTGGTTGGATATTGTGCCAATAAGCTTAATTTTCTCTCAAAAACGAGGGATCTTGACACAAAATCAGTAACTCTTTTGCCATTCTTGACAAAATTACCAAAGTTACCAAAACTACATCGGCCGGCTCATTAGTTTCTCAATAGAGTGCCAAAATATTTTCAATATTTCAATTTTCAATATTTCAATTTCAATAACTTTCCAATTACCGAGTGTTTCACCTGGATGATTGCATCAAAAACATTTGTGGGCGAATAGCTCGAGTTTGTAAACCAAAAGAATAGACATTTCCTGCTCGACTAACTATTGCTGGCCTTGTATTCATGATTGTTGAGTTCGATGTTCATTCCGAGAACTATGTCTTTACGATTATTCACTGCATTTCGGGTAAGTGTTGCAATGATAGGCTTAGATAAAATTGATCTTTTTCAGTTGTTGGCACAATCATAAACCTTTTCGGATTGTACACTATATTGGTTTATCCTCCAAAAGAGATGGGCGAGTACTCAAAAGCATTGGCGTGTCTACAGGTTACAAATCTACTCAAAGGTTAACAAGAAAGAAAATCGAAATACCGGAAATGCTGTATTACAGCGGTCGGTCGCTTCTTTTTTCAATATCCCTTCGGAGAGTCGCTCTATTAGAAGGGATCATTCCATTTTTCATAGACCCTAATTTGAAAGAACCATCTCGGATCATAAAAATATTATTTCTGTTAAAGAAAATTTCTTGTAACATCTATTAAATATTAACAATTAAAATAAATAACATTGATGCTAGTAACAATTAGCTAGCAAGATCACGCGGAACATCAAAGTTGAAAAGAATCAAATCATTGCTTGTATCGTCGATTTCTGCAACGTTTGTATCGACGTTTGTGTCCAATTCTCCGAAAACCTTGGTCATTGCTTGATCCAGACGAGCATTCTTCAACTTTTCGTAGCCTAAAACAACAAAATAGTAGTGCACCCTGAGCGTTGCCTAAATTGCTCGAAATCTCGAAAAACGCTTATCAGAACCTATCGATGTGGGGTCGGAAAGCTGACGCTGACAATAGCTGACGATGAGATCTAGTGGGGGATTAGAGCGTTGAGCTCCAAAAGCACGGAAACCCTAAAATCGTCATCAACTCGGCTCGGCGGGGTGCACTACTATTAGAGAGAATACGGTACTTTATTTCAGCATAAAGTGTGATATTGTTGAAGGAACAAGCATAAAAACACTAAGCTAGACTTAAACTAAAGAGAATTTAAACAAAAGCAAAAAAATCACAAATTTTTAATAAAGCAAAAAATAATTCACACAAAACACACAGAAATAATTCACAGGCTAGCTACCTTATGAGATGAAATTTCAAGTTCAAAAAGCATTTAATGCTCTGATTCTATGAATATGATCTGGGAGAGAAGGCCAAAGATTGACAACTCAAGAGGTGGAAATGTTTCTAGCAATTTTTGAGGAGACATTATGTTGTTATGTTATAGGACAAAGATGTATCAAGTAAAATGGAAACACTACCTGCGCAAGATTTCACAGCAGAAACACCGTCACAACGAATAACATTAATTGATTTAAGGGGTTAAGCAAAGACGAACAAATTGAATCATTTAACCAGGGCTCTGTAATGGCTAAAATCGGATAGGCTTTTGTTCTAACTAACGTTTGAAAAGTGACTAAACGACTGCAAGAATTAGAAACAATGCTGTGAGCGTTTGAATAGGAAATTTCTAGGAACGAAAAAAAGAGAGAAGCCTCAAGAGAGGAAAAATCTACTTGATTATTGTTGATCCTGAAGATTGAGGACGCGATGGTTGGGGTTGAAGACACGTTCGTATAATCTTTGAGCTGGACTGGAAATCTTCGATGATGAGCTTGAGAACAATGAAAAGACGGTTGTATCGACGATGGGTTGAGTGTAGATAAATCCAGTAGAACCATTCTTGATGTATTCTTCCGATTCACGTTAAATGGAGCAGGCACTTACTTGGGTCGTCCTCTCCTGTTTGAAGGCATTGTAAAGGTTTGCGATAGTAGGGGCAATTTCATCTATGTGATCCGTTTGTATTTTTCAAATTTAAAACAAAAAACAAATGAATTATGCTAATTTGAAAAGGTTTTTCTATTGATTTCTTTAGGTCTTGGGTATTTCTGTGCTCGGCCACACTCAAACATGTACAGTGTTTTTGTTTCTGCTTCGACTCCAATTCATCGTTCCCATGGGTCATCCGTTAAAAGTGAAACCTGCGTAAACCTTAGCTCTAAAATTATTCATCCAAGTCTTTTAGGTTGAAATATGCGTTCTTTTTATTGCTGAATATCGCTCCTTACTTACATTGCACATGGTATTTGCCAGTCATCTTTAATCATGACAATAAACAAGCTACCAATTACTATTATCGACAGGCTAGTTGATAGTTAACAGCTTTTAACACATTCACAACAAAATCATTTTTGGCTTGGCTGTTGTTTCGGACGATAGCTATCTATATTATCTATATTATATTTTAGACGTAAAAATTTGTAACTGGAGGCATTCTGGGATAGAGAGTTTGAATCCGTTATTAACTTTGGGGCAACTTTGTGTGGGTTGCGCTTAGATAATTAAACCGAATGAAATATCCAAAAATAGAACCGTTTTCTTTAAAAACCAAGTACAAATTCCAATTTTCGGCCCAATTGGCCTCAAAAAAAAGTGCTAATTCCACGTATGGCCCACCGTTGGGCCTTAAAGTCGCGAATGTGTGAAGAATGTCATTGAAAAAGGGTGAGCAAGCCCTCAGTAAGTTGGATACTCAGTTTTTGGAGCGTTCATCCCTATTAGGCTTAGGATCTAACCAGCTACTAACTTTTTAATTGACGTGATCTGTTGTCTGACCTATAGGGACGCCTTTTCAGAAATACCCTGAGTTGCTCCAATTCATCGAATTAGACAATTTCTTGGGTTCTGTTCCGGAAATGAATTTCTTCTTTCTCTACAATATTTGCGGTTTTCTGGCTATCTGTGGCACATTGATGATCAGTTGGTGGTTTTAGAATCAAATGGCTATGCGCCTAGTTAACAATTGTGATTGTGGGACATTTGATACGCGCCCCGCCCTCTTTGCCATTGGCAATCTAACTTTGAGTTCAAACATCTTAATGTTGGGCTGTTTGATGAAATAGTTTTTGTACCAATCGACAAAGAAAGGCTTGGCGCATCTAATGATACCAAGAATATTCAAATTGAACGGCCCAAAACGAAGATCTTTCAGCTCAAAGTTAGATTGCCAATAGCAAAAGGGACGGGGCGCATATAAAATGTCCAATAAATCTCACTAAACCCTGAATTTCATTGGTACCAGGTTAGTGTAAAAAAAGGGTTGCTAAAACCGGTAAATTATAAGTTTTATAGTTTTATATAAGTTGGGTACTTTGACTGCCAAATCCACGGGTCCTCTTCTTCTAATATGCAAAATGGCGTGCAAAAGAGTCAAAAGTACCCTAAACCTACTTTTGATTATTTCGCACACCATTTAAAATGCAAATGTTCTTGGCTTGAAGTAAAGTGACTTGCAGAATAGTTAAACGTACCATGAAAAGACATAAGAACTCAGGTTTATCTTGTCTCTGCTTCTACTTTCTTCGCATTCAAGAAGAATACCTGGAAAAACGACTCATTCACGAGGAGAGGAGATTGATCGAAGCTTTAATTACACAAGTGATCTTCTGCCACTATTAAGTAGACTTGTCCCACTAATCGTTCAAACGATCAATGCGCAAAGTCACGCTAGACCAGGCGCTGGCTCTAGTTCTGGCTTTGGATTTTGGAGCAAAAAGGAGCCAAATATCGGATCGAATTCCAAACCTAAGCGGCTGTCAGTTTGAGATGGACCACAACTGCAAACTTTTTCCACTTTTGAGAGCAATAATTATCATCAACGATTGAGCAATTAGTTTTTAGAAATTTATAGGGATACTTGATGGGTTAATCATCATTCTCTGAATAACTTGCGAGAAAACACCTCTAGCCAAAACAGAATTTCGTAACATTCGATTGACTTTCAGTGGATTTGTCAAATCTAAAGCATCACATCTTTAAATATTTGGGTTTGATTTCTAGCGTTAAACCGTTAAAGTCGTCAAACAACTCTACCATCAGTAGCACGTCAATTTGATTTAAAAACACTGTAACCTTACTTCAGATAACAATTCCAATGATCACTGTGATCATCCCGTTCTTTTTGGGTACTGCTGTAATCATTCTTGATGAAATCAAATACACCAGTAAGTTGATCTTCAGCTCGATCCTATTTTCAACACAACGAAAGTCTGCATGAAATTGAGCAAATATATTCTACATAATAATTTTTAGAGTATTGCCCACTAATTAGCCTGTGCCTCTCTCAACATGGTCTTGCGAATACTATAGCAATACTACTATTGTATCAACCGTATCGTAAACAGCTCAAAGCAACTTTGCTGAAACTGAGTAAATGGAAAAGAGTTGATTGTAAGTAGTTTTTCTAAAGCCTTATAAATTTTTCGATAGCCATTGTCGAGAAGTGGTTGGGTCCAAAAGTGTCTCCGCTCTGGGTCACTGCTTCCTTGGCTCAACAAAGTACTTAAAATTCAAGATAAAACAAGAGAAAGTTTAGTGTTTACTGTATTGAAATAAAAAGTTTTATTAAAAAATGAAATTGTTACGAGAAATTCATTCAATGGGATCAGCAGCAATTATTTGGCTGAGCGCACCAGTAGGGGCACTTTCCGGAGTTACAATTTCCAATGCAAGAGTCGGGGCATCAGGAGGCTGGACGATGGCATCAGCACGGCGGAACAAGTCGACCACATCATTTTGGACACCTGAAATATTGGAATGTTGATGAATAGAGGAAGTGATTGTCCAGGAATGCATATGGCAAAAACCCACTCATTGGTGCATTTTCCTTTTCTTCGGTGGCTGAAACGAGTGGATCGATCAAGAAGAAGAAGCAAATAAGGGCCACAACAGCTACTTTCATTTCGGATTGGTGTTGAGAAGTACAAATTGGATTTGTGCTGTAGTTGAGGTTTAAATTTGGGTATTTATACCTGCTGATTGTTGAGTTAACTGTCATCGAAAGGGCATTCAAATATTTACTTCTAAACTTTCTGATTTCATTTCCGATATTAACTCTTTGTCTTCTCATTGCAGTCGTTAGTTGAATTGTCACTCCTCGTTTTGAAAAGGTTTATTTTTATTTGTTTTGCATTTTGAATGGGTTAAATGAATCAAAATCTGGTTGTACTTCTTGCTCGAAAACACTGATAAAGTGAGGAAAAAGAAAGAAAGAAACCGCAAAGGTGAAAAGAAAGAAAAAAAAACCGCAATTTGAAAATATTCCTCATTGTCGCTTCAGAATACTTCAGAAGACAAATAGCAAAACACCAAGAGTACTTTTTAATTCAAGGTTTGTTCTTAAAGCCTGGAAAATTGAAGTTCAAAAAAAGGCTGAAAAAATTGAAAGCTGAAAAAGCTCTCACACCACCTTTGCCACCTTCGATATTCTAACTTTGTTTGTTCAGCCTATAAAGTAATCATTGATTACTTTAAACTAAAGAACAAACGTAAACCATTCAGTTTCCTTTTGATTTTTTTCCTTATTAGCCCCTTGACGCAACAATCAGTACGATCTTTTGCCTAAGTTTTCACAACACAAACTAACTGATAACTCGAGTAATTACTTTGAAGGGGTCAAAAACTAGTCAGTGTTGTCACCGGAAATGAAATCAGCAATGTGCTATCAACAAATAAACCTTGGTATAAATACTCAACTTGAAGTCCCAACTACATCACAAATCCAATTTGTATTTCTCCATTCACAATCCAAAATGAAAGTCGCTGCTGTGGCCCTTATTTGCTTCTTCTTCTTGGCCGATCCACTCGTTTCAGCCACCGAAGAAAAGGAAAATGCTACGTTGAGTGAGTTTTTAAATTGGTAGTTAGATGGAGATCCTAACATTCTCTTTCATATATCAATTCATTTTCCAGCTTTCCAAAACGACTTTCTTCATCGTGCTGATCGTCATCGTCCATCCACTTGCTGCCCCGACTCGTGCATTGGAAATTGTTACTCCGGAAAGTGCCCGTACTGGTGTGGCCTTCCAAACAACTGCTGCTAATCAAAATTCAAAATTACATCTCGAAGTATTTCTCCTGTGACAACTCGTTTTTAAAATTGGGTTTCTTTTTTCAATAATCCTTTCCTTTCCAATAAACATTATATTTTATTTACCAATTCCAACAAAATCCAAACTTTTGTGTCTGTGTTAGAATGGAAGCGATTTTCAACACTTTTTAGACATAATAGTATTTTCTATGAGCTGAACCAAAGTGTTCGCTAAAAATACCTTGATATCGAGATATTTTTATTTTTTTATGGCGGCTAATGATTAGACCTGTATCGCAAAATCATTTATGCGATTGACTCTCAAAAACTGAGTAACCTTATTCAACAACTTTATTCAAAAACATCTAGCAAAATTCACAAATCAAGAACACCTTTTGCGTAAAATTTGATCTCAATCTTCTTGTTCACTCGTTCAATCATTTCCAGCATGAAAAGCACTTTTCGAGACTCGAAATTTTTGACAAAAAACGCTTCATGAATACTTTCAGTGTCATCCAAATCTTTTAATTCCAAGAATAATTCTCGAATTTCTTCTGCCTTCGTTGAATCCTCATCAATCTCTTCAGTCGCCTCATCTTCATACAATAGTCCATAATAACTCTCAAAGACACATCCCAAAATCTCAAGAATTTCGTCGGAATCAATTGGATTTGAGGATTGCATGTTTTTTAGTTGATAAACTACTTTGAATAAAGCGTCAGAGTCCATAGCAATTGAATAGAAGGAATGGAACTAAAGATCTTTTAATCTTAACAATTTGTAAGGTTTGTTGAAACAAGCCTTACCTGAAATAATGCTCAGCCATAAATGTACACTTTTGTAGTAAGTTATATCAACAACCATTGAAACTAAACAAAATATGTTAAAGACAAAGTATTTTATCAGAAAGTTGAAATCGAAAGAAAATTCCACCATGCAATAGTTTTTTATTTTTAATGAATGCTGGAGTTTTGGCCTTTTTCCCTCAACTCACCTGCTTTTCTGTGAAAGAATCTTCGTTTTGTAAAGGAAATGATTCGATGGTCTAAAAGGATTAAAGGTCAATAATGTTGTAGTGCGCTATTTGTGAGCAGAAATCTTCCAAAACCAATTTGAAAGCTAGATGTTAACACACTATGACTATGTTAACACATTCACGACAATACAGCAGTTCTAATGACGATTATTTTTAGTGTCAACTCAAGTTTTTAAGGATTTTGTTATTTATTTTGTAGAAAGTTCTTGATAACTTTGTAATCGTTTGCAAGGGGAGATTCGGCGCTATCGAATATAATGGTTTAGTTGAATCTTCACCAAATTATCAGTTAAAAACTAACGACTACGCGACTGTACACCAAATATACCGTCGTCGCGAATGTGTTAAATTCATGGCACTTTTGTGACTTTTTGGACAAAATTTTGAGACAGGAAAGTGCAAGCCAAAAGCCACGAAAAAGGAGTGCCCTGAAGTGGCAATTTCAGAACAGCTCAGGTAGTGCAGTAGCCAAGTATTGCCATAGCGATGATAAACTCTAGTGGTTGGGTATTGTGCCAATAATGGTATTTTTCTTATAAGCTGTTTACCGTAACCCGTCAAGGGCTAGTTCGTGGTTAATCGTGTTTAAAAGGAAAATTTTTCACAAAAATTTTCATTCTGGACAATTTTCAGTAGCGTAATCTAGTTTATTGTTTATTTTATTCATTCTGAAGCTGTGTTGTGTTTCTTAATTTTGTTTTACTCGATGCATTACTCTGCCAAGATTTTTTAACTTTAGGTAACGGCAGACGATGCGAATGTGCAAGAAAGTCTGATCAGACTGGAGCAACATCTGGAGCAGAAACTGACGGCGAAGATTCTGGCAAAGTCGACACACGGTCCGAAGCTCAGGTCCAAATCGTTTGCTACACAAGTCGAACTCAACTTGAAGATCGTCAACCTACTAGAGAGCGGCGAAGAAGAGAATATCAGAGAAGCTATTCGGTGCCTGCAGGAAAGGAACACATTGTTGGTGGCCGCCGACGACGATCCAAAGGTGTTCGAACTAGCAGAAGCGGCGGAGAAGATTAAAGCTATTACGGGAGCTGATGGTGACAAAGGGCTCGGAGGAATCCTTCTCGCAAGCAAGCTCCTGAGCAACAACGGTCCGGCATCGAAGAAGAGGCGAGCGGCCCTTTCTTGAACGGGGCGGAGCTTTTGCCAGTCCTCCCTCCCGCAATTTCAATGGTAACAACGATGTGCTTCGAGCCATCGAGGAACTCAAACAAACAATGCAACCCACTTCGTCGCGATATGGATATGGGGCTGTTAGCAGCCGGCCACAAGGACGTCCAATCCAATGCTATGCGTGCAATCAGTATGGTCACACCCGCTATCAATGCCGTGCCGGAAGCAGCAAACAGTGGTGAGCGTGTTCATATTAACTTTAGTGCCTCAGTAGGCTTTTGGAAAATGTTAGGGTGTTCACAATTTTGGTTAGATGTAATTTCAAAAGGCTATCAAATTCATTTTCATACACCTCTGGTCAAAAAAGCCAGGGAAGAGAATAGGTCTAGTGTGTTTAAACATCATAATTTCGTGGAAAAAGAGGTGAATAGTTTAGTAGAGCGGGGAGCTATTGAAGAGGCCGAGGTTCAACAACTCGAGTGGGTGTCGCCTCTTCTGGTAGCGGAAAATTTAACAAAATTGAGATTAATTCTGGACTTATCCTATCTCAATCAGTTTTTGCACAAAACCAGCTTTCGATTAGAAGATTTGACATCAGTGATAGATGTTCTACCACCCGGTGGCTACATGCTAAAGTTTGATTTTAAGGCGGGTTATCATCACATAAAAATACACCCGAAGTCACAAAAATTTCTGGGCTTTAAGTGGCAAGAAAAATTCTACAAATTTTTGGTTTTACCTTTTGGCTTATCCCCGGCTCCGTGGCTGTTCACAAAAATGTTCCGCCCGTGGGTAAAAGCTTTGAGAGAACAAGCAGTTAACATTGTGTTGTACTTAGATGACGGTTTGGTATTTGCCAACAGTCTGGCGGAAATTAATCGAGCAAAGGCTCTTTTGCAAGACGCCATAGAAAAGGCAGGCATAACAATCGCAAAAGAAAAGTCGATACTTTGGCCGACTCAAGAGCTAAACTTTTTAGGATATAAAGTTGATTTGAAGGTCGGAACAGTTTCCGTGAGCAGCCACCGGGTGGAAAAAGCTCTCCACCAGGTGCAAATACTACGCAGCGTAGTACCAACGGTCCAGGACCGAAGGCGTTTTGTGGGATCAGTTATTTCAATGTATCTTGTTGTTTTAGATGCGGTGCGTTCGACGCGGTCGACCTCGCAAGTGATAGCAAATGCACAGTGTATTGGCACCGCGGCCACAAAACAAATCAAACCAACAGTGGAAGAACAAATCGAATGGAATTCGTGGGCAAAACGGTTGTTGCAAACACCAGCACGCTCGTTGGCTCCATCAATATTGGAAGGTGAGGCTTTACTGTTTACGGATGCTTCTGCATTAGCGCTAGGCGCAGTGTTTATAAAAGAACGGTACACGTTGAGAGCAGCAAGAAACTTAACGGTACAAGAAAAACTAGAATCAAGCACACTTAGAGAGTTGAGAGGTATTAGTTTTGGCATAGACTCGTTTATTCATGAGCTAAAAGCCGGCGAAACGTTAAAACTTTTCTGCGATAATCGAGGCGCGGTAGCTATAGTAAATAAAGGCAGCATGAAGAAAGAACTACAAGCTTTGTCCCAGGAAATTCATAAAACATGCAGCGTATCGGCTATCCAAGTAAATGTTTTTTGGATTCCAAGGGAATTGAATGAAGATGCAGATGAAATGAGCAGACAAGTAGAAAGTGCATATTGGGGTATTA